GACACAATGTGACCCAGGACAATGTCTTGTGTTACCATGAAATAACATTTCTCCCAATTGAACACCAGATTGGTTTCCTTACATCTTATTAACACTTTCTCCAAATTTGTTAGACACAAATCAAACGAGTCACCATATACAGAGAAGTCATTCATGAACACTTCCAATAATTTCTCAACCATGTCACTAAACGAGCTTAACATGCACCTTTGGAAAGTTGCAGGAGCGTTACAAAGTCCAAACGACATCCTTTTGAATGCAAAGGTGCCAGAGGGGCATGTGAATGTGGTTTTTTTTTCTGGTCATCTAGTGTTATCTCAATTTGATTGTACCCGAAATACCCATCCAGGAAACAGTAAAATTCATGGCCTGCAATTCTCTTTAGAACCTGGTCAAGAAATGGAAGAGAAAAATTGTCTTTTCTAGTCACCAAATTGAGCTTTCGATAGTCTAATGCACATTCGCCATCTTGTGACGACTCGAGTTAGTACTAGTTCATTGACATCATTTTTGACCACTGAGACCCCTGACTTTTTGGGCACAACTTGGGTCGGACTAACCCATTTGCTATCGGAGATGGGAAAGATTATCTTTGCATCTAAGAGCTTGAGCACCTCAGTTCTCACCACTTCCTTCATGTGAGAGTTCAGTCGTCGCTGAATTTGACGAGAGAGTTTTGAATCATCTTTAAGGTATATAGCATGATTGCAAATTAACGGGGTTTATACCTTTTAAGTCAGTGATGGTCTACCTAATGGTGCTTTTATGATTTTTAAGAACTTCAATCAGTTTAGACTCTTGCAAGTCTGTGAGCTTAGATGAAATTATTATTGGGTATGATTTGTCCTTTCCTAAGAATGCATATTTGAGATCAGATGAGAGAGGTTTCAATTCAGGCTTTGGTGGCCTAACACTTGATGGGAGTGGTTTTGTGCCACTTGTGAAAGTTTCTCGAATTTGGGTGCCCATGTCTCAACAGCATAAGTAGGGCAACTTTGTGGATTTGGATCATCATCTGTTGACTCTGTTGTGCTAGGTTCCAACAAATATGATTCAGCAAAGGTTTCATAAAAGGTATCATTCAAATGTTTGTGAACCAACGACTCAATGAAATTTATTTCTCTCACTTCCTTATCCTCTCCAGGATGTTTGACAATATTGAAAATATTCAGCTCAAGAGTCATATTCCCAAAAGTCAATTTCATGACTGCATTCATGCAATTGATTAATGCATTGGAGGTTGCTAGGAAGGGTCGACCAAGAACAACGGAAATTTGGTTCTCCGAATGTATTACTGGCTGAGTATCTAGAACAATGAAGTCAACAGAGAAGACAAAGTTGTCCACTTGGACAAGTACATCTTCAACAATGCCTCTTGGGATTTTAACAGACCTGTCTGCCAACTGGAGTGTAACACTGGTGGGTTTGAGTTCACCTAGACCCAACTGTTGGTAAACAGAGAATGGGAGCAAATTGACACTTGCCCCAATATCGAGCAGAGCTTGTTCTATTTATGAAGTTTCTAATAACACACGACACGGTTGGACACCCAGGGTACTTGTATTTTGGAGGGGTTTTGTGTTGAAGGAAGACATTGGCTTGTTCTGTCAAGAAGACTCTTTTTTGAATACTTTGGCTTCTCTTGATTGTGCACAAGTTTTTCAGAAACTTGGTATAAGAGGGGATTTGTTTGATCGCATCTAGAAGTGGAATATTGATTTTCACCTGTTTAAAGAGCTCATAGATTTCTGGCTGGTGATTCAACTTTTGTACCATTTTGAGTCTTTGGGGAAAAGGATCAGGAATAAGAGAAGAAGGATCTTTTTTATTTGATGGTTCTGACTTTTTTCCAATCAGAGGATCAGGCTCAACTGGTTTAGTGACTGGGATTGACTTAGGCCTTGGCTGTGGAATTAACATGTCTCTGACTGTTTCGTCAATCACCTTGTCACTTCTCAGTATAGTGATAGCTTGAGCTTGGGCTTGTGGGGTTTCCATGATTGAAGGATTTTTCATATGAAATTGGCCTTGTGGTTGTTTTGGTTGGGCTGGAAACTTGCCTTTCTTGTGAGTGCTCATGGATTGAGTCAATTTTTGGATGTGACTTTTGATAGCTTCGAAAGACTGGGTGGTCTGTGCTTTTAATTTAGTAAAAGCCTGCGTGGAATGAGTGTTGTAGTTCATTTGTATTTGCATGAACTGGTTCTGTGTGTCCTCAAGGCTCTTCTTGTGTGGTGGTTGGTATAGTTAATATGCGGGAGGCCCTTGAGGTGGTGGTTGTGAATTTTGTGGATTCATGTGAGTTGGTTGTGTGTTTCCCCAACAGAAGTTTGGGTAAAATGCAAGCCTAAGTCTAAGACTAATTCTACAACTAGTTAAGAAATGTTGGTCTAGTCTAAGCTTCCAATCCCCCCCTTTGAAGCTCTCACAATGAGAGTATTTATAGGCAAAAAGGAGGGGGTAAGGGAGTGTGGAGGAATAGTACAATGCCTTCAAAGTCATGTGTAAGTCCCAATGTTCAGAGAGAAAATCAACTACTCTGCAGCCTGTCTGGGGACAACGTTTGAACGTGTCTCCTGTCTTTGCTTGATGGGCGTTCGAACGCCAGATGTATTTTGAGCCTCCTACTCAAGTAGCCTCTGTTACTCTTTGTGAGCTACTTCCATACGCCTTGAACCATTGCCCTTGCACTCATGAGCTTGGTACTCAATAGTCCAGGGTCACGTTCGAACGTGAATTGACATTCGAACGTGGTACTCAAGTACTTCAGTGTTTTCCTTCTTAGCTGCAACACGTCATGTCTCAGTATTTCAGCAGTATGGTCTTCAAATAATTCAAGGGAATGTTCGAACGTGAGTTGACATTCGAACGTTCTTGCTTTGTTCCAACTTTCTTCAATTTTGTCCCAGGGCATGTTGGTGTTGCATGAAAATTTGATATTCATTGCCTTTGGACCTTTGTACAATTTATATCCTGAAATGTCATCATTTAACTCCATCAAAGTATAATTAGTCTTAAAAAAGGTATAGTAATATGCTAATTTTAACTACTAATCAGTCGCTACTTGGAGCAAGGAAATTGTCTTCTGGTCATGTTGTCAATTGTCATACTTTCCTTCCTATGTTTGTTTCATACTTGTTTCCTGTTCTCTTGGGTCTTGACTGCCAGATATTTGTTCCAGCTTTGCAGTAGAAATTTCTTACTAATTAAAATTGGGGTTTCAACATCCAGTATTTTTTATTCAGCTGATAATTGTGACTATAAGACTGAAGATAGATCTTAGGTATTTCTAATTGAATGCAATAAAACTCAAGAACTGCAAATTTAAATAGTTTCAGCAATCTCAACGAGACGTTTTTAGCAGTCATCTTTTCTCGGTTTTCATGCCAGAAACACAGGATATAAATTCTGGATTCTTAACACCTTTATGCTGCGATAGCTGCATAACCCTTTATTATCTTCCTGCTTCAATTATTTTTAGTGCAAAACCTTTTTTGGTAGTGGTAGACTTATTATCTTATTTCTGGAGTATGTTCAGTTGGTAAATTAAGTAATTTCTCCTGTTGTCCACCAAAGTCTTTGTTCAATAAAGAAAAATTGCATCTGGAATCCATATTACTATTGTGCTTAGAGCCCAATTAAATGTGTAACATCGCACAACGACAGGGACAACTTTCTTGTCTTCTTGTACTTTTGTAGTTTCATTAGGAAACCCCTTTTAGTACTTTCATTGTTTTGGTCAGTGATCATGGCATTTTGAGAGGTGATCAACATCATACTCATAATAATAACAGCCTCCGATGCATTCCCAATCCATACTTTTCATGTCATAGCTAAAATATGTTGTTTTTAACATGATGTACAAGGAGTTTGCCCTAGCATGACATCCTGTTTGTGTTGATATTTACACATTGCTGTTCTACAGCTATGCAGTAACATGGACTGATAAATACAAGGACAAAGATCAAAAAAGAAGTGGGTCGGCAACCAACCAGCTCCCATCAAACAGAGATTACTTGGGGGACTTTTTGGTGTGGCGGCCGCCAATTGGTTTGGAGAAGAACCAGACATTCTGGGTAGTTTTATCATTATGGCTGGGTTTGGTTGGAGCTGCCCTGTTTCTGCAAAAATGATGCACATACGTACATGAAAGTTGTGGGGTGGCATTTATTCTTTTTATGAATATAGTTTGTCATTACTGTATATTTTATTTCATTGTTAAAACATATTGTATGTAAAGAACCATGTATTTGAAAATTCCTCTGTAGTCTCAGAAAAACATAAAAGAAAAACCAAAAATTTTGAATCAATCGTCTATTTAACGCTGATTTCTGTTTTTAAGATAGGATTAGAGATGTGGTCATCTTATTGGGCACAACTCTAACGATGTCGTCTTTATGTGTAAAACGGCATTGTTTTGGGACTAGCATCCGTGCAACGGGGTGCTGGATTCCATTTTGCTTAGCCATTTGTAGCTTGAAAAGATTATAAAAATGAAAATGAAAATGAAAATGAAAGAACGTGTAGCTTGCCTGCCAGCATGGGTGTGAGTTTGGATTTAGCCATCTTATTCAAGATGTGTGAATTTTACACGACATGATCGATTCACTCTTGTTTGGGTTTGTGAACCCTTAAGATCGAAAATATGCGCAAACAGTAAGGGAGATCGGAGTGGAGGAGTGCAAATGAGCTAAATTTGATCAAACTTGATTTAAAATTTAATAGAGTTTTGATAAAGTTATTTTTGAGAGTCGATCATCTCAACTAAACTTGGAACTCAGGTTTTTTTTTTATTTTTGATATAATCGTAGGTGCTACTTAACTAATCAAATCAAGTTAGAACAAGTTTCAAAAATTATAAGAAATGATTTTAAACACCATTTCAATAATAAATTAATTTAAACAACTTTATTTAGATATTGGGCTAGGCCCTTCAGTCCATTTGAAGTAATAGTTCAAGCCCTGGCCTCCCTCCATAACTCGATCCAGCAACAGGGGCCATGTACAATTGTAAATCAGCACAAAAGTCGAGGGTAAAAGGGTAAAGGGAAAACCTATCTCCTCCCTCCCATTAAAACAAACCCAACATTCCCGAACCCTAGCTTTCACTTCACATCACAGCCGCTGAGACCACAGATCACTGGACCATGACGACACGATTCAAGAAGAATCGGAAGAAGCGAGGCCACGTGAGCGCCGGACACGGCCGCATCGGAAACACCGGAAACACCCCGGCGGCCGCGGAAACGCCGGAGGTATGCACCACCATCGAATCCTCTTCGACAAGTACCACCCTGGTTACTTCGGCAAGGTGGGCATGAGGTATTTCCACAGGCTCCGTAACAAGTTCCACTGCCCCATTGTCAACGTGGACAAGCTCTGGTCGATGGTACCCCAAGACGTCAAAGACAAGGCGGATCAGAAAAATGTTCCAATGATCGATGTGACTCAGTTCGGGTATTTTAAGTTGCTTGGAAAAGGGGTTTTGCCCAGTGATCAACCGGTGGTGGTGAAGGCCAAGCTTGTGTCCAAGATTGCTGAGAAGAAGATTAAAGAGGCTGGTGGTGCCGTTGTTCTCACCGCTTAGGTTTGCATTCTTTAAGAGAATTTTCTTTTTAAAATTTTGTTTTCGACTCTATTTGGATTTGCTGAAGTAGTAATCTTATCTCATCAGATATGTTTTATAATGTGTTTTCAGCAAATTTTCTTGTTGATTTCATTTGATGGTTTACTTGAGATTTTGGATAGAACCGCAACCAAACACGTTTTCTGTTTCAAATTTTTACCGCAGAAATAAACAAAAACCGATTGTGTTTTCGTTTTTTTTTTTTTATGAAAACATAAAAACAGAAACCTTACCGAAGGCACCCTTAGATACTGTATTTATATATGGTCTTTGGCTTTTGCTAAATACAATGCTTTGGGTGAAGCTTCAGGTACTTTGTGCTGAACAGTTTCGTTTATGATGTTGAATGAAATCATTCGAGTATATTCCAATCTTATTAGCCTAGAGTAGAATTAGATGTTGTCTTTTACTACTCCCTCAAGTTTAGCGGGTGGCTACTGTAGCTTCATATTGTGCCATGGCAGCATTTTATCTCAAAAAAAGAGATACGATTAGTGTTCAGAGGTTTGTGTCACCCATTTGCCTGATGCCTACATACTTGGCACTCGGTGTCATCGATTGTCTTCAAAGCCAGAAATATTGATGGTGTCCACTACTATGCTTTATATTTTCTGGTTAACCAGCTTTTTCTCCATTCATTTGCTGTCCTGGTGTTCTGCAGTTAGAAACATCTTTAGGTACTGTTCTATCTTGTGGACTTGAATGCCTGGATTTACAAATGATGTAGGACTTCTGTTAGGATTCATCATCGTGAATGGAGCCATAGCTAGAAACAAGGAAATTTATCTTGATTTTCTCCAATGCATTTTAGCGTTTAGGGATCTGTCAAATGACAGAATTAGCGATCTGGTCTTCTTTTTGAAACTGTTTCTGTAGTTGCCTTTGCTTCTATTCGTTCAGCATCTGCCAGGAAAGGGTGGCTGTTGGTTGTCATTGCAGTTTATCTACCACTCACAAGACCACTGAGAACTTTGACTTAGCTTCTAAAGGTAATCCACCCAAGCCTTCCCTAACCTATACAAGCAGAGCGGAAGGGAGACAAAGTCCTAACACAAGCTACCATTCCATCTATCATATCAGTCGAGTCCCCCTCTGTAGAAGACTTCTTCCGAATGGCATAATTGTTTCCTCAATCCTCATAGAAAACTGACTCCTCCTACTCCCTTTATCCTTTAAGATTGGACTTTTGAAGTTGGAATCTTCATCGAATGGATTTTATAATTCAGGTGTATGGTGCAAGATTTCTGTTTTGAAGGATGCTTCTCCAAGTACATGGTGGATTACCATAGTCAGCTTTCAGGATTGAGCAAGGGGCTGGGAGAATTTACTGTTTTGATCTATTTCCAGTTTGGCTGGGTCAATCCTGTCATGCCATGTGCTCTTCAAGTAATGAAAATCCATACCTTTGCCTATTTGACCCTCATTAGCCCAAGCAATTTTCTTTAAGCATTCTTCTATGCCTACAAAACAACAAAATATTTAAAGATTACCACGCAAAGCTTGAGAGACTTTAGAACAACCCACGGAATGAGTAATGGATGGATTGAGCAACTAGTTTAGCAAAGATTTTTGGGTAAATTTCACTGATACCCTTTCTGATTTTTAAAATATCACTGCACATCCCTGTATTTTATATAAACGTTTGACAGATTATCCATGCCCTCCAATGTCGGTAGTGACAAGTAAAATAGGTGCGATGTGATGGGTTTTTCTCTTATGAGTAATCAAATTAACCCTTGGCTATATAAACCGAGATTAAAGTAGTAGGAAACATCTTTTTAGTAATAATTTAGTTAAATTAAATGCTAATTAGACTAAATAGAATGTTTCCTATAAAAAAATTGATTAAATAAAATGTTAATTTGGTGTTAATTTTAAAAAATAATATTAATTTGATAAAATTGAATGACTATTTGGTATTTGATATGATGAAATTGAATGGTAATTTGAAATTCAATCAAAAAAATGATGTTAATTTGATAAATTGGATGGTAATTTGATGAAATTAAATGTTACTTTGAGGAAATTGAATATTGTTTTGGTGTTAATTTTATAAAATTGAATATTGCTTTGATTAGATTGAATATTAGTTTGTTGAAATAAAATGACAAGTTTGTAAAATTTAAGATCAATTTTATGTTAATTTGGTAAAATCTTGTATTAATTTAATAAATTTAATTTGATAAAGTTAATAGTTAATTTGGTGTTAATTAGATTAATTTGAATATTAATTTGGTAGTTAAATTGATGAAGTTTAATGTGATTTTAATAAAATGGGTTAAGTGCAAGTTACACCCCGAAAGATAGTTCGAATCTCAATTTAGACCCTCAAAAATCAAAAATCTCAATTTGCACTCTCAAAGATAGAAATTTGTATCAATGTTCACCCTCAAAGATAAAAAATCTCAATTTGTACCCTCAAAGATAGAAATTTGTATCAATGTATATCCCCAAAGATAAAAAATCTCAATTTACACCCTCAAAGATAGAAATTTGTATCAATGTACACCTAAAATTATATTGATAAATTATACCTAGATCCCTTCATACTTGTCACTTAATCATTTGAATTCTTTCACATTTAAAATATTACTTCTACATCTCATGACGTTTGTGCACGTGCAACATGTAACCCATTTTCGTTGATATATGTTAATATAACTGTTAAAAAATATGATTTTATCCTAATAAAAAATTATAATTTTATATTATCCTTTTTTTTGTGGGCCCGATATATTCTAAAGTTTAAAATCAAGTTTATCATTTGAATGTCTAATAGAATGTAAATATTTATATAATATTTTTTATATTCAACGCAATATATTACTCAATGTGCAACCTTTTATTGTATTAGACATTCAAATAGTAAGCTTGATTTTGAATTTTAGAGTATATTTGACCCATAAAATAAAGGGTAATATGAAATTATAATTTTTTTATTAGGATAAAATCTTATTTTTTAACTGTTATATTAACATATGTCAACAAAAAAGGGTTACGTGTTACACATGCACAAACGTTATGAGATATAAGAGTAATATTCTAAATGTGAAAAAGTTCAAATGATTAAGTGACAAGCACGAGGGGATTTAGATATAATTTATTAATTTAGTTTTTGGTGCACATTGATACAAATTTTTATTTTTGAGGGTGTAAATTGATATTTTTTATTTTGGGGGTGCACATTGATACAAATTTCTATCTTTGAGGGTGTAAATTAAGATTTTTGATTTTTGGGGGTGCACATTGATACAAATTTCTATCTTTGAGGGTGTAAATTGAGATTTTTGATATTTGAGGATGTAAATTGAGATTTGAACGGTCTTTTAGGGTGTAATTTGCAATTAACCCTAATAAAATTAAATGTTAATTTGGTGTTGATTTTATGAAATTGAATATTAAGTTGGTATTAATTTAATAAAGTCAAATGTTAATTTGATGAATGTGATTGTTAATTTTGCAAAATTTAATATTAATTTGTCAAAATTTGTTGTTAATTTGGTGCTAATTTGATGAATTGAATATTAATCAAACATAATTAATGGTCAATTTTGATGTTAATTTGATAAAGTTATAGATTAATTTTGTATTAATTTGAGTAAGAGTAATTAAGTAAAATGAGAGTTCTAGTAAAGGTAATTAAGTAAAATTATATCTCGGTTAATCAATAAAATTTGACAGATGTGTGCAATAATATTTTAAAAATTAAAGAGGGTGTTAGTGAAATATGAATTAAATCCAAATAATGTCAATGAAATTTACCCAAGATTTTTTTTTATCCCTTTCCTCGCTTTTATGAAAATTTTGGAATTTGTTAATAATATGGGTAAATTTCACATGAACCCCTTGTTAAATGATACAGCACCCCCAAACATTTCAAAAGTCTCTTATCGGTGTTAAAAGTTTGGTAGGCGTTAATAGAGTTGATAAATTGACCACTTTGCCCTCCCTTTACTATATTTATACTAAATTTAAAAAAAACAATTAAATAATGAAGATTTATGCTACTAGAGGTACTCGAATTGATGATGTGTAGGTTTATACTTCACCTTTTGTTCGACTACTAGACCAACACCTACTTATGTTTGTGCAGTATTTCATTTACTTGTGCAACAATTGTGAACAAATTGTTCAATATTTGTTTAGGAGAATTACCTTTTGATTTGTTCAATATTTGTTTACAAGAATTACCTTTTGAACCCTCAATTTTATCTGTCATTTCAAATCATTTTTTAATAATAATTATATTTCTCATATAATATCTTCAACTATAGTTATTAGTTTAATTGACATTTGTTACAATTTAACGAAAAGTTTTCTTACTTTGTCCCTCCCCCCACCAAAACATGATGTCATTTTACTTTTTTTTTTTAGCTCCATGGCCATGGGTGTTCGGGCTAAACTTAGACGCACCTCGATTAATCCTCTCTTCAGTTTAGTTAAAGACAGACCATCTATGCAAAAAGTAAAAAATTCATGATGAATAAATCTCTTATAATTTGATCCTAAGAAGTTGTCAAGATTCGAACTTATGACACTTGAATTTACTGCTTGTTTTTGTTATGTCTAAAACTACTCTCAGAGTTCATTTTATTTTGTCTGATAAATAGACATTTTTTTGTCAAAAAGCGACGGATGTTTGTTTTGTTTAAGCATTCTGAAACCAATTAACGTAGTTGACGAAGTAGTGTTAAAATTACAGTTTCATTAAGAGGCAGGTCACGTCGAAGAAGTCAAGGTGTAATTAATTCTCTTTTTTTGTTAGCAAAATGTTATTTGAATTCTAAAAATTGGTACTATTTGTTGATTTTATTAATTATTGTAATTAATTTAACTGTCTTAGTATTTATTAAAATTTATTATCTATTCAATAATTATGATTAATTGAGTCAACAAATGGTGTCAATTTTTAGAGTGGCAAATGCATTTTCCTTCAAAAATTGGGTCTTTAATAGATGGAT